CCTTGGCTTACGTTGTTCAAAGACTTGCGCGGTGTCATTACGCCATCCGAACAACCTCAGAGGTCGAGAATCTAATGACGTCAGTTGAACGAGTTATTACATATACCAAGCTTGAATGTGAGCCAGGATACATGATCGAACGACGACCCCTGGAAAACTGGCCAAATGAAGGAAATATCATATTCAAAGAAGTATCCTTGAGATATTATCCGGGAGGACCACAAGTGTTGAAGAATATCAAACTCAATATCAAAGGAGGAACAAAGATCGGTGTCGCTGGCCGTACTGGTGCTGGAAAGTCATCTTTTGTGGCAGCTCTAATGCGCATGCCTGAATCGTGTGATGAAATAGTCATTGATGGAATTCCAGTGAAGGAAATAAACCTCCAGGAAACTCGACGATGTATATCCGTCCTTGGTCAAAGTCCAGTACTGTTTAATGGATCACTGAGGAAAAATCTGGATCTTGTTGAGCAGTTTACAGATGCAGATTTATGGCAAGTTCTACAAGATGTGCAACTGAAAGAATCAGTGAAAAGTCTTCACGGGCAACTTGATCACGAACTGTTGGAAAATGGTGCAAATATCAGTGTTGGAGAACGACAGTTGATTTGTTTGGCTCGTGTGCTGTTGCAACGAAACAAGATCATCGTCTTGGATGAACCTACTGCAAATGTAGATCCAGAAACAGAAAAAACAATCTTGGGCGTAGTGCGTGAAAAACTGAGAGACTCTACGGTCATCACTATAGCTCATCGATTGAACACCATCAAAGACTGTGATAAAATTTTACTTTTCAAACGTGGAACGGTAGCAGAGTTCGACAAATTTGACACTTTGGTGAACACAGAAGAAAGTGAGTTGCGTGAAATGGCGCGAATTGCAAGTTCCAAAACAACGTAACTTCAAATAGCCTGTTAACTATTTCTCAGCCACTTTCTGTAATTCCTTTATTAGCTATCTTATGTAAGCACGTTTTGTTCACAATATACTGAACTTTACCAGCTGGTTTTTTATATTTTAATTATTTGTGGCTCGTGCTACTTTACCATAAAGAAGTGTTCCTCACTGTTTGTCACGTTGATTCGTATCAGAAAGATCGCTGTTTCAGTATACTTGTCGACCAGTATCAAGAGAGCTATAGTAGCAGCTGGAATATTCCTTTAGAACTTTTTTTTATCCTCATTGAAGTATTTTCTGTATCGTAATTTAAGGGCATAATAATAATGTAGGGCTTTCTGTAGTTTACGATAACGATCTCGACCTCGAATTTCGTCAGAATAAACTACTTTTTGAATCAAGTACAGTTCTGGTGTGACTGAAAATCATTTTTGAAATCAGATTACGGCCGAAAAGTAAGTTCTTGGGAATATGGGAGCTTGTGTTGCACAAGTCTACAGGATTCGCTGCTATTTATCTCCAAGTAAGACATGCCAGGAGAATAAAGAATCATATAACTGATCTCGCTATCACGTTTTTTTGTGCCAATATGGTTTAAAGTCTAGTCATTTCCACCCGTTATAGACCTTGTAATCCAGACTGCCTCCATTTACGGCTTAAGGCACAAACTTAAGTCGCTTTTGTGAAAGTGATGACCATGTTATTTTCAGACCAGCCGGCGCTGCAGATGGACGATATTTTAATTCAAGGTTTGTTTTGGGGGTACCTAAGATGACATTCAATTATAAAGGTGAGAACTTATTCCTTGAAAAGTATTTGAAAACACACACATGACCCTGTCTGAAAGAGAGAATAGAGATCGGAGTAACAACACGACAAAAAAACGTAACATTCAAAATAACTTCTAGCGTTAAGAAAGCCAAGACACGTTTTAGTCTGGTGTTTGAACCTTGAAAAACAATCATCAAAAGACAAGAATTTCTTCCTTTTCAACACATATAATATCGCAAACAATAGTACAATCTCGATGGCTCGACTTCAGCTGATCGATGGCATTTATTATCCGCAAGAGAGAGTGAATCGTACATATGAATTAGCTAAGACTTATAGAACCCTTATGCAGTTTTCCCGTGCTTGAGGTGCACGACGTATCATTTGTATGGGGTCATCTTGAGTGACAGTCAAAAGAGAAATTATCAAGAGCGCTTCAACAGAGATATCTTATTACTCTACGCCTACCAAACAACGAGATACACGGCAACGATGAATTAATGGGAACGCAGACCAAAAAGATACAGAGAGCAGTGTCAACTGGTGTTGGTGTGGATATCAAGATAAGCAAATCGCACATAGCATTTACGTCATGTTGTGAAAGAGATAGCTCTCTGTTTAGCAGTCTTATGACTCTAGCTCCAAGATTATTGTCCAATGTCGGCGCTAGAGTTCTTCCTGGTTTTGCAACAGTTGACACTGGAACTATCAAGGAAAAGGTCGATATGAGCAGAGAATTAATTATACAAGACGCTTTAAATGATAATAACCCACGGTTACAAAAAAACACCAAGAAACTGATTTCGCTATTTATCTTAATAATAAATTAACTCCGATGAGTATATATTATTCAATCAATAAAATAAAACCTAACCAGTTTGCTGTGAAGCTTTTCAACATTGGAACACAGGATTGTACAGATCGTGTTATTGTGTCTAATGATGGCGATTTTGGATGGGATTCATTTCATGAAGTTTTGACCGTTAAACATAGCATGATGGAACTTGATCCCCTATAATGACGGTCTGAAAACAGATAAATCAAGTGCTTCAACCTTACTTTATGGGTCTGTTAAGTCAGATTGAATATTGAAAAACAAATGGATTGACATTGGCATTTCGTTTATAGTATATTTCAACGTTGATGAATCGGTAAGAATTGGAATTTCGCCAACAGTTAACATAATTCTATTGGATGGTCTTGATTATTCGACCACAACAATATTGAAATTTGTTTAATGTAACGTCATTGTAGATGGGAATATTTAATGAAAATTGAGACAAACACATATACTCAAAATCTGACGTGGACACTCTTCCCGATCGATAACAAAGTTTGTAATACAGATGTGTATACGAAATCAGACATTCACACTCTCTTCGTTGAGAAACCTCATAAAACAGACTTATACATGAAATCAAATGTTGATACTCTTAGATGACAAATCTGACAAAACAAACTGAGAAGTGAAAATAAGCCCTGAAAAAAAGTCAGGCCGTACGAGATTTGAACCTATGACCTCTGTGATACCAATTAGGAGCTGGTCATTACGTTGGTTCCAAAGAAACCCGTGAAGTGATGAATAGATGACTGTGAATATATTAAAATCGTATCTTTTTTTCAGGCCTTATTTTCACTACTTTCTGCTTACCGCGCAAATCGGTTTTATATTTAATTCTTTATCCGCAGTTCACATATAAAATTTTCATATGTTCACAGACAAGACTTTACTATAAAGGAAAAATGGCTCATAATAATACACAACAGATGGAATTTTATGATAATACATCAGTAAATCACAGCATCAATGTGAAACAGTCTAATGACGTTCATTTTATTTGTGACTCAAACGATAGAAGGAAACTCCAAATAATCATCTCTGGTTTGTATATGTTGACAATTTTCGATGGATACAAATCGACTCAAAACTCACATATACAATTGAATATTGATAAGCCGTTTCACCAATTGCATTTATAACATAGGCCTTTTTATCGTCACACTCTGACTACGATCAAGTGACACCATAAGAACGAGAAAAAAGAAGAGTTGCTCACTTTGATTTCAAAAGAAATTTTCAAGTTATTATGCTTTCCTACGCCTGCTTTGGCCAACGACGAGGAATATTTGGGGAAATTTGCATTGGAAGGAGTTTTCGCTTTTTTATACTTCTACACATAACATGGTCCACTTACAGTTAGAACGAACATTAACTTTGTCATGTGGTGATTAGATTACAATTATAGAATTCTCTATCCTCCTGGCATGTCCTCCCTGGAAATAAATAGCAGCGAATCCTGTGGACTTGTGCAAAACAAACTCCACTATTACCGAGAACTTACTTTTCGGCTGTGATCTGCTTTCAAAAGCGATATTCAGTCACACCACAACTATAGTTGATTCAAAGGTCGAAGTCGAGATCGTAATCATAAATGACAGAAAGATCTATATCATTCTTTCCCATTAACTACGATGAGGTAAATATCTCATTAAGCGCGAGAAAAGTATTAAGGGAAACTCCATCTGCTACAACAGCCGCTTTCCGTGCTGATCAACATTGATACTGATACTTAATCATAAGAAATATTCCGTTTTCCTCGTTATCAGTTATGATTAAGTCAACGGGGAAATGGTCTTCCCTAAGGAAGCTCCAAATAACAACCCACATCCTGTAATAACGGTCAAAAAACAGTTTTTAGCTAAGTACAAGTTAAAAAGCGGTTTGCAAACTTCTTTGAAAACGCAAATATACTTAAAACCTCATTTGTGATCTGAATTTTGTAAAATTTGATCTCCATAAATCCTGCCTAAATTCCAGTGAAGTCTGTCTGTTATTGATGGGTGAGTAACTACTAATAATTGTTATTTCGGAAGTTTCGGAAACTGATGTATATTACTTCTCACGAGATATCTTAGTATCAGATAAAACTAGCTTTCTCTACCTTCCAGCATATCTTAGTAACTAAAGCAACACCGATTACCTTTCTTTACATGACTATCAGTTTTACGACTATTAGAGTACCTCATTTTATCATCCAGCTGCTCGAAAAAGGGTACAAATAACGCGCAAACTTTCTCCGGGTTTGATTAACTGCTCGGATAAAGTGCACTTACGTGATGGCTCTCACGTGAGCGAATGCAGGTGACCTCCACTATAGAGTAATCGTATCCCATGGAGACTAATCTTTCCAAATGGAGGGTCTTAACATGTTTTTGCTCCAAGCAAAACTTGCCATTTACTCGCCTGTAATGGAAGATATATATAATAGGACATCAAAATTGGAACATTCAGGAATTTGAAGAGGTGGTGAATTTCACAAAGGCATTCTTCCCCATCAGCTTACCACAGAAACTCGCCGGAGATTGATGTCAATCAATGAAAGTGAAGCTTAGGTAAATGCACGCAATTGTTCAAAATCAAGGTATTGACGTGAATGGCAACGTTTTTCAAGTGAATAGAGATTTTGCGTGATGATTGTCACCCTGTATGTCTTGTACAACTTCTGCCACAACATTCACCGTCATGAGGTGAATCCGGAAAACTCGAACATGTGAACTTGACTGACTAGCTACTCTAAGATGCTTCTCGCAATATAACAACACGGTTTGACATATGACCACGAGAATGTGTTCAAAACATTTCAAAAAGTTCTCAAAATGGCGAGAAATGAGAGGATATCGCATTCACTGTGACATTTTATTGGCTTTGTTTGGTTATGTGAAGGTGCCATGATATGAACGCGCAGACGGAAAAATAAATTTCAAACCTCGGGTATAGATCATTTTCAGCATTTTCCCGTAAATGTGCTCGATTTTGGTCTAGTTCAGTAGAGAGGAGACTTTTCGGGGAAATGGTCTCACTAAGATAGGCTTAAAGGCATAAAAGGAAAGTTCTATCTAATACTAGGATATCTATCAATTGTCCGTGAAAGCTTCCACAAACAGCCGAAAAAACAATAAGCGGAAGTTGTTCACCATTAACAACAGACTTCCTTGGATTTGAGGCAGGATTAATGGCAATCGAATTTTATAAAATTCACACCATGGATGGGGTTCTTACGTATGTTTGCAAAGCGCTATTTAATATGTCTTTTGATAAAAAAGGGTTTTAAGCGTTATAAGAGGATGTGGGAGGTAGTTTGGAGAAAACAATGACATATTAGTTTTGAACATCGAGATTTTTTTAAAAACCATTTCAGAACACGTTCTGTAAAACTCAAAATTAATTAAAT